TTGTAGGAAAAGTTGGTCTTCTTTCAGGAAATGTACTTTACTAGGCAAATCCCAAATTGCATTCTGGAATGAGAAGATTCACAATGAAAAACTAAGATGCCTGCACAATATTGAAAAAGGTTGTTTTTATTGTGGGTAAAATTACGTACCTGAAGATGTTTATTATGTCCTCTGGTAGGCAAGTCTGAGACTGTGTGTGATGGGGAGACCAATGACTGCTCCCTGCTGGGCTTTAATGTGGCCGGAAGCATTTGGGTGAGGAGAAGGAGGCAGGCCCTGAGGCTAGAGGCAGCCAGGAAGAGATCCTATAATGGGACCCTGGAAATATGTTCTTTCTCCATTGCGTCTTTTGACACTTATTTCTTTCCTACTTCCCCCTCCTTTGATGCCACCCCTGCACCCAGAGGCTAAACACTCAGCTTCTAGACCCAGACTATATGAGTTTGAATTTCAACCATTTTACATACTTGCTTTGTAATCTTTGTAATCTTGGGTGGGTTTCACAGGCTCTTTACATCAGTTCCTTGAAGGACATTCAGAGTGTGATCAATTTAGTGGCTTACCAAAAACTCTCTTTTAGCTGCTTATACTTTTTTTTTTTTTTCTGAGATGGAGTTTCTCTCTGCCACCCAGGCTAGAATACAATGTGATGATCTCAGCTACCTGCAACCTCCACTTCCCGGGTTCAAGCAACTGTCTTGCCTCAGCCTCCCGAATGGCTGGGACTGCAGGCATGCACCACCATGGCCAGCTTGTATTTTTAGTAGAGATGGGGTTTAACCATGTTGGCCAGGCTGGACTCGAACTTCTGACCTCAAGCAATCTGCCAACCTCAGCCTCCCAAAGTGCTGGGTTGTGCAGTGGCGTGATTTCCATTCACTGCAGCCTCTGCTTCCTGGCCTCAAACAATCCTCCCACCTATCTCCCGGGTAGCTGAGAATACAGGCATGTGCCACCACACCTGGCTAATTTTTTGTATTTTTGGTGGAGACAGATTTTTGCCGTGTTGCTCAGGCTGGTCTTGAAATTCTGAGCTCATGAGATCTGCCCACCTTGACCTCTCAAAGTGCTGGAGTTACAGGCGGAATCCACCGCGCCCAGCCTATTTATACATTTTATAGCAATTTGTATTAGATAGGTTACAGAGCCTAGGGAGGTAGTGAGACCTTGGGAATCCATGTTTCTGTGATTAAACACGTTGTGTGACTTTCTCCTGGCTCATCATCTGTCCTCTACTCTCAAGTCCCTTGGTCTTTGCTTCTCTTAACCTCTTCTCCTCCCTCAGAGTCTTTGTGACCCTCTACTCTCTATGACCCTATGTCCTCCTCTCTCTTCCCCTTGGTATAATTTGGCTTTCAGTGAGTTGGCTTTTTGTTAACTGGCCAGCCTCCAGTTATATAATCTCTCTGTGCCTCAATTTTCTTTTGTGTAAAATGGAGATAATTATCACAAAGATTGAATAGCTTAGAACAGTGCCTGGACTACTGTAAGCTGTTTAGCTTAGCTATTGTTATATCCCAGTCTTCTAATAAGCTTTGTGGAATATAGCTGAGGTTGGGTATGCTTGCACTATGGCATATCATTATTTGATGGCTAGAGGTGATTTGGGAGCAAGGGTGGATTCATTATCTGGAGTGAAATAACTAGCTGAAGTAGCAAACAACCACCAGAATAGAGTTATGGGACTTGTCTACATTCCTCAGGAACACTCAGAATACCTGGGAAAGGAAACCAAATAAAGGACCAGGAGTCCACAGTCACACTGAGTTGGGTCCATCCAGATTACTGTTTGGGTAATAAGGTGAAGGTTAAAAGACTTGATATTTCTCCTGTTGCAGACTGTGATAATTTGTACACAGAAACCAGTCTGTGGTGCACACTTAGAGTAGCACTTAAAAAAAAAAAAAAACAACAGGGTCTCATTATGTTGCCCAGGCTGGACCACAGTGGCACGATCACAGTTCATTGCAGCTTCAACCTGCCAAGCTTAATGTATCTTCCTGCCTCAGTTTCTTGAGTAGCTGGGACTACAAGCACACACCACCACACCATTGATTTGTACTTTTTCATAGAGACAGGTTTTCACCATGTTGCCGAGGCTGGTCTCAAACTTCTTGACTGAAGTGATCCACCCTCCTCAACCTCCCAAAGTTCTGGGATTACAGGCGTGAGCCACTGCACCTGGCAGAGTAGCCAAACATCTTTAGGCCTTTGCATATCACCAATCTTTTCAAATCAGAAAATAAGTAAAATGTTTCTGGTCTTGAGTAGGTAGTTATCTTAGGAGTGAAGATGGGACAAGATCATAATTACATCCTGCAAGAGAGTCACCCAAAAGGAAAGCAGAGATGGATAAAGACTTCTCAGTACTTAGATCAAGTGTGTAGAATGAGAAACAAACTGCATTCAAGAACATCTCCATAGAAAAGTGCCTAGGTTCCAAATCCTGGCTCTAAATTACAAGATGGGACCTGGAACAAGTTACTTAACAAATCTGTGTTTTATTTTTGTGTATAATAGGAATAATCAAAATGATCTCCTATGGTTATCCTGAGGTTGAAAAGCATTAATAAAGTACCTAGCACATAAGAAACAGTATATAGCCAGGCGCAGTGGCTCATGCCTGTAATCCCAACACTTTGGGAGGCTGAGGCAAGCAGATCACCTGAAGTCAGGAGATCAAGACCATCCTGGCCAACATGGTGAAACCCTGTCTCTACTAAAAATACAAAATTAGCCAGGCACAGTGGTGCGCGACTGTAGTCTCAACTACTTGGGAGCCTGAGGCAGGGAGTCGCTTGAACCTGGGAGGCGGAGGTTGCAGTAAGCTGAGATCGCACCATTGCACTCCAGCCTGGCAACAGAGTAAGACTCGGTCTAAATAAATAAATAAATAAATAAATAAAAAGCACTATGTAAATGTTAGCTTTTATTATGGCTGTGCACAGAAAGGGATGAATGTCAGCACGGGAGAGAGAGAGGTAAGGTAGAAATACCTAGCTTTCCATTTCTGTGCTTTGAGCCTGTCTAGTTTGAGTGAAGCTTTGTTTTGTACAGTTTTGAGAAGTGTTGTAATAAAACAGGGTATTCTGGAGGGCTGTCATTTATAACATCTTTAAAAATTGTCTTTAAAAAGATTGTCCAGTTTTATCACTGGGGAAATTCCTGCTGACAGAAACCATCTATCTATCCTACCACCTACTAGACATCTCCATGTAGGTGACCCACAGACCATGAACTAAGTCCCCGGTGGAACCCACCATCTTTCTCTTCAAATCTCTAGCCCCCAAGTGCACATAAATATATGTAAGTTTATATATATATATATATATATATATATATATATAGAGAGAGAGAGAGAGAGAGAGATAA